CTTGGCTCCACTATCCCTTCTTCTTATCGTATCCTTCATGACTGCGACCTTGACCACCATGACCATTTTTACTACTTTCACTGCCACAACCTCTACCTTCAAAATTTTAAGAGTAGAGTACCTTTTCATATTTGATTGACGCCTTGGTTTGGAGTGCTTGATCGAGTGTTTCCTCCTTCTTCTTCTTACGTTGTTCGTGTGCCTCGAGAGAACCGGCTAGCTCGTCGACTATGAACGTCGCTAGGTCATTTGACTCTTCTATCGTGCATACAACATTCTCAAAGTTGTTAGTTAATGACCTTAAAATCTTCTCCAAAACCCGCATCTCGGCTAATATTTCTCCATGCCGGTTGAGTTGAGTTGGTTTACCACAGTATGTACATGCATGATGTAGTCAGATACATTTTTTGACTCCTTCTTCTTCATGCTCTGCTCTCCAACATGCCACGAAGAGTTTGGAGACGCACTTGCTTGACTCGGTCGATTACTTTGAACACTTTTCTTAAAGTGTCCCACGCTTCTTTTGAAGTAGTTGCATTGGCAAGCTTCTCAAAGGCCGACTCGTCAACGGCTCGGAACAACATGTACAGTGCCCCCTTATCCTTTGATCGCACCTCTTTTAATGTCTTGTTTCGTGTCGCTGTATAACCCATGGTATCTTTTGGTTCTTTTAACCCTTCTTCGACCACCTCCCATGCATCTTGAGAACCGAGAAGAGCTTTCATATTTTGTCTTCGTTAGTCGCGGTAGCAGGATTTGACTCGTCACATTCGGCATTGGCTTGATACCAATTTGTTAAAGAAAACTCACAAATTTGTGAAATAAATCTCACACGGACTAACGATATAAGAAGACAAATTCGGCATTGGCTTGATACCAATTTGTTAAAGAAAACTCACAAATTTGTGAAATAAATCTCACACAGACTAACGATATAAGAAGACAAAGAACACTCTATTTCTATTTATCTTTTTCTTTTCTTTTTCTTTTTTTTTCTCTGCTCTGCTTTACTGTTTTACAGTAGAAATAACAGATGTATTTATAATGTCTCCTAAAACTAAATATAGACATCAGAATGCCACTGTATTTAATATACGAATGTATTTATAAGGTCTTCTACAACTAAATATAGACATCAAAATCCGGCCACTACGAATGTATTTATAAGGTTTCTCAAACTAAATATAGACATCAACATTTTCCTAACCTAGACATCAGAATGCCGCCACTTCAAATTATTTATAAGGTCTTCTAGGTCTTCTAAAACTAAATATAGACATCAGAATGCCACTATTTACGTCACTGTTTCGTAACCCATAAAACGTCATTGTTCCTAGACATCAGAATGCCACGATTTCCTAACCCATAAAACCATCAGAATGCCACTATGTACGTCACTGTTCCTAGACATCAGAATGCCACTGTTTCCTAACCCATAAAACGTCACTGTTCCTAGACATCAGAATGCCACTGTTTCCTTACCCATAAAACGTCACTGTTCCTAGACATCAAAATGCCACTCTTTCCTAACCCATAAAACGTCACTGTTCCTAGACATCAAAATGCCACTCTTTCCTAACCCATAAAACGTCACTATTCCTAGACATTAGAATGCCACTCTTTCCTAACCCATAAAACGTCACAGTTCCTAGACATCAAAATGCCACGATTTCCTAACCCATAAAACCATCAGAATGCCACTATGTACGTCACTGTTCCTAGACATCAGAATGTCACTGTTTCCTAACCCATAAAACGTCACTGTTCCTAGACATCAGAATGCCACTGTTTCCTTACCCATAAAACGTCACTGTTCCTAGACATCAAAATGCCACTCTTTCCTAACCCATAAAACGTCACTATTCCTAGACATTAGAATGCCACTCTTTCCTAACCCATAAAACGTCACAGTTCCTAGACATCAGAATGCCATTGTTTCCTAACCCATAAAACGTCACTGTTCCTAGACATCAGAATGCCATTGTTTCCTAACCCATAAAACGTCACTGTTCCTAGACATCAGAATGCCACTGTTTCCTAACCCATAAAACGTCACTGTTCCTAGACATCAGAATGCCATTGTTTCCTAACCCATAAAACGTCATTGTTCCTAGACATCAGAATGCCATTGTTTCCTAACCCATAAAACGTCATTGTTCCTAGACATCAGAATGCCATTGTTTCCTAACCCATAAAACGTCATTGTTCCTAGACATCAGAATGCCATTGTTTCCTAACCCATAAAACGTCATTGTTCCTAGACATCAGAATGCCATTGTTTCCTAACCCATAAAACGTCATTGTTCCTAGACATCAGAATGCCATTGTTTCCTAACCCATAAAACGTCATTGTTCCTAGACATCAGAATGCCATTGTTTCCTAACCCATAAAACGTCATTGTTCCTAGACATCAGAATGCCATTGTTTCCTAACCCATAAAACGTCATTGTTCCTAGACATCAGAATGCCATTGTTTCCTAACCCATAAAACGTCATTGTTCCTAGACATCAGAATGCCATTGTTTCCTAACCCATAAAACGTCATTGTTCCTAGACATCAGAATGCCATTGTTTCCTAACCCATAAAACGTCATTGTTCCTAGACATCAGAATGCCATTGTTTCCTAACCCATAAAACGTCATTGTTCCTAGACATCAGAATGCCATTGTTTCCTAACCCATAAAACGTCATTGTTCCTAGACATCAGAATGCCATTGTTTCCTAACCCATAAAACGTCATTGTTCCTAGACATCAGAATGCCATTGTTTCCTAACCCATAAAACGTCATTGTTCCTAGACATCAGAATGCCATTGTTTCCTAACCCATAAAACGTCATTGTTCCTAGACATCAGAATGCCATTGTTTCCTAACCCATAAAACGTCATTGTTCCTAGACATCAGAATGCCATTGTTTCCTAACCCATAAAACGTCATTGTTCCTAGACATCAGAATGCCATTGTTTCCTAACCCATAAAACGTCACTGTTCCTAGACATCAGAATGCCACTGTTTCCTAACCCATAAAACGTCACTGTTCCTAGACATCAGAATGCCACTCTTTCCTAACCCATAAAACGTCACAGTTCCTAGACATCAGAATGCCACTCTTTCCTAACCCATAAAACATCACTATTCCTAGACATCAGAATGCAACTGTTTCCTAACCCATAAAATGTCACTATTCCTAGACATCAGAATGCCACTGTTTCCTAACCCATAAAACGTCACTGTTCCTAGACATCAGAATGCCACTGTTTCCTAACCCATAAAACGTCACTATTCCAAGACATCAAAATGCCACTGTTTCGTAACCCATAAAACGTCACTATTCCTAGACATCAGAATGCCACTGTTTCCTAACCCATAAAACGTCATTGTTCCTAGACATCAGAATGCCACTCTTTCCTAACCCATAAAACGCCACAGTTCCTAGACATCAGAATGCCACTCTTTCCTAACCCATAAAACATCACTGTTCCTAGACATCAGAATGCAACTGTTTCCTAACCCATAAAACGTCACTGTTCCTAGACATCAGAATGCCACTCTTTCCTAACCCATAAAACATCACTGTTCCTAGACATCAGAATGCAACTGTTTCCTAACCCATAAAACGTCACTGTTCCTAGACATCAGAATGCCATTGTTTCCTAACCCATAAAACGTCACTGTTCCTAGACATCAGAATGCCACTCTTTCCTCACCTATAAAACATCACTGTTCCTAGACATCAGAATGCAACTGTTTCCTAACACATAAAACGTCACTGTTCCTAGACATCAGAATGCCACTTTTTCCTAACCCATAAAACGTCACTGTTCCTAGAAATCAGAATGCCACTCTTTCCTAACCCATAAAACGTTACTGTTACTAGACATCAGNCTAGACATCAGAATGCCACTTTTTCCTAACCCATAAAACGTCACTGTTCCTAGAAATCAGAATGCCACTCTTTCCTAACCCATAAAACGTTACTGTTACTAGACATCAGAATGTCACTTTTTCCTAACCCATAAAACGTCATTGTTCCCAGACATCAAAATGCCACTGTTTCCTAACCCATAAAACGTCACAGTTGCTACAAATCAGAATGCCACTATTTCCTAACCCATAAAACGTCACTGTTCCTAGACATCAGAATGCAACTGTTTCCTAACCCATAAAACGTCACAGTTCCTAGACATCAGAATGCCACTCTTTCCTAACCCATAAAACATCACAGTTCCTAGACATCAGAATGCAACTGTTTCCTAACCCATAAAACGTCACAGTTCCTAGACATCAGAATGCCACTCTTTCCTAACCCATAAAACATCACAGTTCCTAGACATCAGAATGCAACTGTTTCCTAACCAATAAAACGTCACTGTTTCTAGACATCAGAATGCCACTGTTTCCTAACCCATAAAACGTCACAGTTCCTAGACATCAGAATGCCACTCTTTCCTAACCCATAAAACGTCACTGTTCCTAGACATTAGAATGCAACTGTTTCCTAACCCATAAAACGTCATAGTTCCTAGACATCAGAATGCCACTTTTTCCTAACCCATAAAACGTCACAGCTCTTATTATTTTCTCGTATGTTTTTCCTTGGCGACATTGTCTTCTTTTTATAAAAATAGAGTAAACATAAATAATTTGATTTTTTTTACCTTCGGCAATGTTACCTAGAATATTCAAATAAACTTTTAAAAAATATGGATGGGAAAAACTTATTAAATAAGTATCTTTTTAATGTTAAATTTGTTTCAAAATAACATAATAGTAGGATAGAAATGAGTGAAGAAGAATGGTTGAATAATTGTACAAATGATGTAATAAATTAATTAATTTTATTGCGTTGAAACCCTATCAAATACAGAACTAAAAACAAAGACACAATATTATTCTTTTTAAAGTTCATATATTAATGACACACAAATTACCACGGTCTAGTGGTTAGGACATTGGACTTTGAATCCAATAACCCAAGTTCAAATCTTTACAAATTTGTGGTCCCATGGTCTAGTGGTTAGGACATTGGACTTTGAATCCAATAACCCAAGTTCAAATCTTGGTGGAACCTTTTTTTTTTAAAGATGTTTATGCACAAATAGTAAGAGGAAGCTTTGAGGTTGTACAAGGCAAAGTGGTCAATGATTGGATACTTTATCAAGATTTGGAGTCTGTATGACTTAAAAGATAAAGTAATACATATAGACTAATCAAGTCATGATCTAATTAAAGGAAGAAACTAAAGGAAGAAACTAAATCACTCTAAGAAATTAGGAAGGTTTGAATTCATGTTGAATGTTATATCTAAGTTATTCCAACATTAATACCAACACGAGATCTGAGTTAGGATGATGTTGTTGGGCTCACTAATTTCCCATAGCTTAAGTAATTTTTATGAATCAGATATTGAACAAGGTTTCTAGACTTGTTTTATAATAGTGTTCATATCGATTAGGAGGCTAATCAGAGACAAAAAAGATAACAAGATGAGCCCTTAAGCCAACTTGATACCTTTATTCAAAGAGGGTGGATTGTGAGATCCCACAACAGTTGGAGAGGGAAACATTCTTTATAAGGGTGTGAAAATTTCTCTATGCATTTTAAAAGCGTAAGGTAATCCCGAGAATCAAAAGAAGATAATACCTGCATGGGCCAATTTCATTAATTCTCAATAATGATATATTTAATGATACTAGAAGATAATCACTTATAGTTTTAAGTTTATTAGGCATAAAATTATGTAAGCGAAACTCGATTAACTGAATGAGGAGCTACCGATCTACAATGTGCATAAAGCCTATGGCCTATTAGCTCAGTTGGTTAGAACGTCATGCTAATAATTTGAAGGTCATTGGTTTGACACTTGCATGGGCCAATTTCATTTCTTCTTAATAATATCTTTTCATGATACGGGGTTACAACATTACGAACTTTAAAGATAATGACTTGAAGTTTTAAGTTTATTATGCATAAAATTATGTAACCTAAACTCGATTGACTAAATTAGGAACTATCGATCTACAATGTGCATAAAACCTATGGCCTATTAGCTTAGTTGGTTAGAGCATCATGCTAATAACGCGAAGGGTAGTAGTTTTGACACCTGCATGGGCCAATTTCATTAATTTTTAATAATATCTTTTCATGATACAAGTTAAAACACTGTGAACTTTTTTTAAAGTTTATTATGCATAAAGTTATGTAAACGAAACTCGATTGACTTATTTAGGAGCCAACGATCTATAATGTGCATAAAACCTATGCCCTATTAGCTCAGTTGGTTAATTGTTGTGTTAATAATGTGAAGGTTGTAGGTTCGACACTCACATAGGCCAAATTTCATTAATTCATAATAATATCTTTTCATGATATGGGGTTACAACACTACGAACTTTAAAGATAATGACTTGAAGTTTTAATTTTATTATGCATAAAATTATGTAACCTAAACTCGATTGACTAAATTAGGAGCTATTGATCTACAATGTGCATAAAACCTATGGCCTATTAGCTCAGTTGGTTAGAGCGTCGTGCTAATAATGCGAAGGTCGCAGGTTCGACACTTGCATGGGCCAATTTCATTAATTTTTAATGATATCTTTTCATGATATGAGTTAAAAAGATGGATCTGAGCCGATATGTTCTCCTATGAAGGATGACATTCGTGGATTTCTGAGAGTCCTTTCAGAACAAGACGGATCTGAGTCGATATGTTCTCCTATGAAGGTGGATTTCTGGATCTGAGTCGATATGTTCTCCTATGAAGGTGGATTTCTGGATCTGAGTCGATATGTTCTCCTATGAAGGTGGATTTCTGAGAGTCCTTTCAGAACAAGACAGATCTGAGCCGATATGTTCTCCTATGAAGGATGACATTCGTGGATTTCTGAGAGTCCTTTCAGAACAAGAAGGATCTGAGCCGTTCGATATGAAGGAGGTAAATGACTTTCACACCTTTTTCTTTAGATCTGAACCGTTCGATATGTTCTTCTATGAAGCATGAAACTCTGGATTTCTGAGAGGGTAAATGAACTGACTTTGAAGGCCAAATTCATCAATGCAAAGGTCAGTAGAGAAAATTTTCCGGCAAGCCACATGTCGACTTGCGGGAGGGAAAGCGCGTCAGACAGCCTGAGGGACACGTATTGACGATTAGGTGGAATAATGCGTCAGGCACGTTGTAAAGTGACGCGTCTCCACTCGATATGCGACATGTAGTAGCTCTTCCGACCCACGCCCACGTCTAACCCAATTTGACTCGAAGGATGTTTGACCCGATCCGCATGGTGCCACGCTTCAATGTAAAGAATTTCACTTCCTAGCGTGCACCTCTGGTTTTGAACCCATGACTCATCAGCCACTGACCTCTCTTTCTCCACAACTTCTTCAATTCTCTTCAAAAGCTCAGAAATTACCTTCCCATTCATTTCCTTCTCCTATTTCAAACAGAAAGAACTCTCACTCAGCTCCGCCACTTCCTTTTCTAACCTTTCAATTTCCATTTCTAAAAGCTTTCTTTTCTTTTCCAATCTCTACTTTGTCCTTCAAAAGGCGCTCGTTTAGCGATTTCAACGTCTGCAACTGAGACTTCTCCATAGATTTATCCACAGCAGATTTTGGTTGTTGCTCTAAATCTCTATTCTCCTTCTGATGATCTGGAAGTTTCTTTGGCTCGTTCGCCGATCGCGTGTTCAATCCAGATTCATACTTCGATTTTCTCGTCTCCGATATCGCAATTTTCCCAAATCCGCTACGTATCCCCTCATTTCCAACGGCTTCCACCACCTCACAACTACCGCCATCATATTTTGCTCCATCGTGTTCTGTCGCATTCAGATCTTCATGTTGAGCCATCAAGAGAAGACCTTCGTTTGTTGCGTCATCCAAGGCTAGGTTGATTGTTTCTTCCACCTTTTTATCAGCTCGACAATCTTTTGCAAATTGCCCCTATGCCACAATTGTTACATTTGTCGGAGTTACAATCGTTCGCATAATGACCATATTTGTGACATTTGTAGCACTGAATGTTGGAGTAAATTGATCGACCGCCTCTTCCTCGACTGCGTCCTCTTCCACGCCAATTTGCTTGGCTCAGCTGTTCCTTCTTCTTATAGTATCCTTCATGACTGTTACCTTGACCACCATGACCATTTTTACTACTTTCACGGCCAACACCTATACCTTCAAAATTTTGAGAGTAGAGTACCTTTTCATCTTTGATTGACGCCTTGGTTTGAAGTGCTTGATTGAGTGTTTCCTCCTTCTTCTTCTTACGTTGCTCATGTGCCTTGAGAGAACCGACTAGCTCATCGACTGTGAACGTCGCTAGGTTCTTTAACTCTTCTATCGCGCATACAACATTCTCAAAGTTGTTGGTTAATGACCTTAAAATCTATTCCAAAACCTGCGTCTCGACTAACATTTCTTCATTTTGGTTGAGTTGGTTTACCACAGTTTGTACATGCGTGATGTAGTCAGATACACCTTCTGACTCCTTCATCTTCATGCTCTCCTACTTGCCACGAAGAGTTTGGAGACGCACTTGCTTGACTCGGTTAATTCCTTTGAACACTTTTCCTAAAGTGTCCCACACTTCTTTTAAAGTAGATGCACTGGCAAGCTTCTCAAAGCCCGACTCGTCAACGACTCAGAACAACATGTATAGTGCCCCCTTATCCTTTGATCGCACCTCTTTTAACGCCTTGTTTCGTGTCGCTGTATAACCCGCGGTGTCTTTTGGTTCCTCTAACCCTTCTTCGACCACCTCCCATGCATCTTGAGAACCGAGAAAAGCTTTCATATGAATGCTCCAATTCTAGTAGTTTGTCTTCGTTAGTCGCGGTAGCGGCATTTGACCAGTCACATTCGTCATTGGCTTGATACAAATTTATTAAAGAAAACTCATAAATTTGTGAAATAAATCTCACACACACTAACATAGAAGAAGACAAAGAAGACTCTGTTTATTTTAAAGAAATAATCCTCTATTGCTTCGCTTCTCTATTTCTTTTATTTTTTTTTCACTTCTCTGCTTTACCGTTTTACCATGGTAATAACAAATGTATTTAGAAGGTTATTTAGACATCAAGATGCCACTGTTTCCTAACCCATAAAAAGTCATTGTTCTTCTAACATTCTAGGCCTTTCATCTCCGACACTCTTGGCCTTTTCCTCTAAGACTGACTCTTGGATTTAAAACCCACTAAAATTCTCCATGGGGAATCCGATCCCTGCCGTTTCCTTGCGATGAATCCCTTACCCTGATCCCCACACAAATAAATAGAGAGTTTTGTGGAAATAGGGAATGAAATAAATGGTGGGGATGATGACAGGGAATTGACATCGCTACATGTGGCCCCTGCACATGTCGTGTTTTATGATTGTATGACATATACTATGTTATGTATATGCTATGATATACGATATGTTGCATACAAGTTACGCTATGATATCATATACAAAAAATCATGTATTGTTAATTATTAAAAATATGAAATGAATCAAGTATTTATATCTCATACGAACACTATGCTAGGAATAGATTGGTGGTATGACTAGCGCCATGAATATATGTCATTCTTTAATGTTATGGGACCTCATGCATTTTGTATACCACGTTCCTCGAGATACTTCTATATTATGTTTAGTACACCCTATGCCTATGTATTGTTAATCATGAACAATATGACAAGAATCAAGTATGTATGTCTCATAGGAACGTTATGTCATGTTTTAATGTTAGGGATCTCATGTATTTTATATGTCAGGTGCATCGGGATACTTTCCCATTATGATTTGTACAGACTTACCTTACAATATTTATGTTCCTTATGATATTATGCGGGTCTTTTCCTTTTATGGTATTTGGTAGTGTGAGCGTGCACAAGCTCGACGAGGTAGACCCAGAGAGTACTCTTATACCAACCACTTGGTGGTCAATGTGCATATTCATGGGTCGTGTGTAGAGAAGTACAACATATTTAACTTTTCTCGGATGGAAAAGAAAAGCCCAAGCCCATGCGACAATGTATTTATGAAAGGATAGGTCCCACTATATTACACGTAATTCAT